CTAAAGAAGTCATGCTTTATGATATAATAAAATCATTAACTTAAAATTCATTGTCAAAAATCCCTATGTATACTAATTAATGCGCGGAACCGCTCTGTCTCTCTTTCTGAAAAAAGAAACAACGTAAAAAGATATTACATAAACGAATATTAGTATTATATTGTATACATCTGTCAAACAAGTTAACAAATATTTGCGCCTGGTAAAAACTCTTCTATCTAAATAAGGGTGGGTGTAGGTCTGGGGTGTGGGTAACACGAAGCATAACAGCCACACCCCACACCCTAATTCTGCATTATATACACTATTCTTTTAAATGTTCAATAATTTGATCTTTATTAAATTAATCAGCTCAATGTCTAACATAACAGGTATTTTTCGGGTTTTTCTCTAGCAGTTTTGCATCATCATTACGACTTAAGTTTTCAATCATATTAATGCCACTTTTCCGTTACAAGTTTTGGCTGGATTGGAATTGATTTCGATCCCAAAACTTGAATTGATTCCTTATTTTTCAAATCCTGCAGAAATAATAGAATAAAATCTTGAAATTATTTAGTATTAAGAGGATAGAGTTTCGAAAACTGTTCCCAATTGACTTTTTCATAATTAGGTTCAAGAACCGAATCTGATTCATTTTCAATTATATTCATTAAATCGCCTTTTAAAATAGCATATAATTCCATTTGAATGTTTTCGTGATCATGATAATTTATATCCTTGGTCTTGTTTCTACCGTCATGCTTGAATGTTATCAAAAACTTTGCATGGTCAGGTCGGTGTGGATAATTTTGGTCATCATAAAAGAAACGAATTTGAAATTCAACACGCGGGTTGATGACGACAGAATTTTTCAACCATATCCAAATCGTGCATTCAATGGCTTTTCTCCAGAATTTACCGTAATCCTTCCAACCTCGATTAATGAATTTACTTTGAGGAAATAAATTGAAATCTACCATTTTCCCGTCTAATGAAGCAGCTATGATGTGACTACAATCATCGTCACGCTTACCACGGGATCGTATTTTCTGACTTAGCTGAGAATTTATTGATGTACTTTCACCTGTACCAAGATTACGTGGATAAATTGTAGCAAATAACCAGTATGTTTTTTGTTCTGAGACATTGTCAGATAGTCGTCCAACTTTAGCATCAAGAATCGGCGAATGGCATGCTTTTAAATTAGTGGGTCGATTGTAATCTCCAAACCTACACATTAGTTGTCACTTCCTAATTTTGCTTGGTAATTCTTTAAATCATCATCAGAATCTGTTTCGATTTCTATGGTAAATTCAGACATGTAAAAAAATTAATAAGTTCAATTTAAAAGGATTTTACATAATAGAAAAGCAGCGTAAAATCTCTACATGACATTTTTGTGAAACACGATCTGAAAGAAGTGTTGAAGTGTTTAGGGGCAGAAATTTGCACCCTCCCCCACAGACCATGACAGACAGGCTCCGGACCCATCACAGACCGTGACAGACAGGCCCGGAATCCATCACAGACCGTGATAGAGGAACTGTGGTTCTAAAGCATTAGATAAACGGTTAGCTACAAATGTATCGAAAGAAATGGAACAAAATGATTTCCATTTAACTAGTAACAATAGATTCATCGTGTTTCACATTTTTAATTCCGCAAGGGATTGCGCTAACAGCTTTTATCATATAACAGCATTAATGAAATCTAACGAGTGAGTGTCATTTTTCAACACTTATCACACTTCAGTTGAGTTTTTAACGTTTAAGTTCTGATATATGAAGACAAGCTATTCTATGTAAAATATTATTTTAAGAATAATCTTATAAACGTAGACTTCAATATGAACCTAAAATGTGAAATTTACATTGTGAAACATAAATTCTTTGGAAGCCTTCATCCGCGATGCAACACTACACACACACTTTTTCCAAACTCTAAATAAATATATATAAATCGATAATGAAAAGGAAGAATCCATATACCAAGTCTATGATTGAAACGAGAAATCTATGATTTATTACTAAAAAAACAGAAGCAGACAACAAGAAAAGAGGAAAACATAAATATATACATGTCATCAGAGATAACGACGGAAGACGCTTATGACTGATTCTGAAAACATGAATCATAGAGCACATAACGTTTGGTGTTCTAACTAAACTAACACAGGATCTATAGTTGGAATATTTTATATTTGGGATAATTACATCGTTATTTGTGTGAACACTAACGGAACCAAATGATTTCTTAAAAATGACACCATTTATTTTGTAGCATTTAGGGTAGAAGTACACCATATGCCACTAAAATACAAATTTTGCTGAGACCAAGAGAAAATCTTCAGAAATATCTTCCATCACCGCAGTGAAAAGAAAGTTAGTTTCTCTTTTTTTACTGATTTAAATTCGAAGACAATGAAAGAGAAAAGGACTTACTTAACGTAGATATTAAAAAAAGCTATTTTGATGAAGCCTTGAATAATAGAGGTAGTCTTCATTCGAAAGAGTAATGTACTGAATCCTGAAGAAAGGAAGAAGCTAGTATATTACTTTTTTCTCGATATTGTCACCCAATATGCAAGACACAAAAATAACGAGAAATCAGTGGCTTAATTTGAAGATTTTTCTGTTGCTCTCAAAGTTGCCTATTTCTCTCTTATTTTGTTCGTCATTTGTTGCTCGAAGAGTAATAGGTGCACGTATACGTGAATCTTTGTCTTCACAATAACAAATGCTTCTAGTTGATGTTGTATACATGCGCTTGCGTCTATTACATAATGCTGTAACCGACTTCTTCTACATCAACGCATTTTTTTAATTCTTCTCGGTCTTTTCTTTCTCTCTGCATGACAAAAGGTAAATACCAACTTCGCTGCCTTCCTCTAACTCATAGAATGAGGTTTACCCAACAAGGGTGTGGGTGTGGGTGTGGGTGGGTGTGGGTGGGTGTGGGTGGGTGTGGGTGTGGGGTCTGGGTGTGGGTGTGGGTTGTGGGGTGTGGTTAGTTGTAGTTCAATAGATATCATATACCCACACCCACACACCACACCCACACCCTCACACCCACACCCACATCCACCCACACCCACACCCACACCCGTAAAATAGAATCTTTTCGAAATAAAAACTTATATTGATGATGGTTGCCAAAATTCTTTTCCAATTTTATCGATAATTTATTCATTAACTGTGAGTAAATTCATGATTAATATTTTTCTCTATTATTATTTTCAGCTATTATACTTTAAGGACGTATGAGGAAAAGTAAGCTATCTCATAATGTTGAACAAGTAAGCATTCGGGTCAATGTCTCAAACTACTCACTGAACAACATACTAGGTGTGACATGCACTACAGCAGTCTATGCTTATAGTATGTTGTTAGTACGTGATGTATGATGCTAAAACATTTCGGCATAGAAACTCTGTATCAGGATAACCATCTGTTCAGAGTGAAAGCTGACAGTTAGTAAGAAATTAGTAATCACTCTTCAGAAGCTTGTCAATTGTAAAAAAATTTTCGTTATTGATGGCATTGAAATTGTATATGTTAGTATAGATTGTTCAATTTTTGAACTTGTGTCAATGTCAATTTAAAAAGTATGTCTTGCTTATCATCGCATTTTTTACATCAATAGTGAGCCTAATTAGAGTTCTTCGAAGTTTTATTATTGACAGAAATAAACTTATTGACATATGAATACGGAATATTACATTCATTCAACGATATAAATAGTTTATATGTCAATTCTTGAAATCTTGAAAGTGTTCATTGGGATTGTTCTAAAGGTTGAGGTGAATGGTGCAATTTGATTGCCAGAATGAAGCCGAAACAACTTCCTTATAATATTCATCAGTTCTTTTCTGTACAGACTAGCCGATAGAAAGTACAAGATGACGGATGTAGTATATAATAAACTGTAGATAAGCTTAGTTAGTTGAAAAGCGCAGTAATACTCGATAGGATTTAAGAATTGAACAGGCAAAACGCCCAAAATATAAATCGCAGCTAATGGTGTAGAAAGTAAAATATGGCAACCCACTTGAGAAAGAAGCATGCGAGCGAGTTGATGTTCAGTGCGACGAGATCGTGAAGACGTAGTAGGTAGAGCACGAAGTGCCTTTGTATTGTATATCGTCAGAATACCGAAGATTGACATTAGAAACGGAGGGAGAATACTTATAAGAACTGCTTGAATAATTGGATATACACGATTATAAAGTGTTGTTGGTAATATACGACATGAAATCACTTGACCTGGTTGTACATCGAGCAGTACCAAAGAGCTAATGAAGAAAAGTGCAATAAAGGTGAAAACGGATAAAACAGACCATCGAGCAACAATATAATTGCTGAAATTTCTTCGTTGAGCATTTGAGGAACTGCCACAATATCGGTCGATTGAAGCTAATACAATAAAATAAGGCGACACTATAACAGATACTTGTTGAATATAAAGGATAAATTTACACCATAATCGAGAATTGCTAGTTGGATCTATTTGATAACCAAGGGCCAAAAGATTAAATGTGAGAACAAATATTGAGACGAACAGGTTATTACTAGTAAATGCGAGAAAATAACGAGAGCATGGATGATTGTACAGTCCAGATCTTCTGAGTACAATTATATTGAGCAAATTTCCGACGACTCCGATTACCATAACAGGAGGTAGGATTACTCGCATGAGTAGAGCGACGAGTTGAATGCGTGGATCCATCATTAATCTTTTTCTATTGAGTGAATCTTAGGAATATAAAATGTTTCTCGTTACTAGATTTTTTTTAACTTCATATATTTTTGATTATTGAATCTGTTCGCAAAGCCAACGTACAAATCTTTTCCCTATGAAAAAAGGTTATTCTTGTTCAGTCATTGAAAGCGATAGGATTATATGAACTGCTCATAGTATTTCACGAAAACTTTACAATTCCTCTCTCATATGGTAATAAGGAAAAAAAAGAGCACAGTGATTATTATTTGCCTAATGTAGATTGGTATTTATGGTTCTTTCAAGTTTTTTAGTCTCACAATCAGTAAACTTTCTCATGAGGTTAAATTTAGAAGCTATTTGAAAAAGTAGTCTCCCGAAGTGTATCTATGGTTGAGGGCTGATCTAATAATAACAAGACATGTTTTATTTTAGAAACAAATAACCGAAGTCATTTTCAAAAATAAGTATAAAATTCATGTCAATCACAAGTCCTCGATCAGTTCAAGGTTTCAGTTAATTGGTGCTTACTTTTTATAGTACGATTTGTAATTCAAAGCTTTAAAAACTAATAAAGAAATATTAGTACTAATGGAGATCTGATTGAGCACCCAATTAACTTTGTTCTTCAGTGTCGAAGCATCTATGACATTGTGACATATGAAATAATATTTCTTCTAATTTTTTTCTTGTTACTGTGTATGATAAGAATTCTTACATTTTCAAGACTAGAGCCTAGCACAAAACCAAAAACAAATTCTTCTAGTTTCGATGAAAACATGTCCTATCGTGCAATCTCCCTTTATGTTAGAGTGTATTTTACCAGGTATTTTGTATAAAAAGAACAGTTTCTCTCTCGGTCTTTCAATTTAGAAAAATAGAAGAGTTTCTCATCATTTCAATACTTAACAAAACAAAATATTCGAAACCAGATTTGGTGTTGCACAATGCCAAAAATTTGCTTCCGAGTTTGGCTGACTAAATATTTTTCTGTACTAACATCCTGTTGTTTTTCGAAACTCAAGGTGGATAGAGCAAACACTTTTCTACATAACTCACATGTAAATACTACTCTCACATAAAGAGAGAATTATATAGTGCTACATTTTTCAGTCGAACTCAAATACCTTTTTTTCGCCCTTAAACAGTTCTATTCAAGCAAGTCATAAACAGTCTGCTATTATTAGTTTTTAATTTCTAAACGATAATGACTTCTTAATGAAAGCTGTCATTGGAAAAATGAGAATATTCATATGCCAAGCACATAAAGAATATCCTATAATGCCTGAGGATAAATTGTCAAGGACATGTTTTTCATATTTTGTCTTGACATAGAAGGTCGAATTTTTAATGACATATATATCTAACCAAGATCTCTAATTTTAAAATATTTCAGCTCTCTAGCTAAAATTAGTATTGAAATGCATGGATAAGATTAACATATACATGAATTGTCGTACTAGACTTTTGTAATATTGTTATTATGTAGTCAATCACGGTAGAGCGACTATGGATTGTTTTAACGATATAGAAATGTATTTATATCTAAAATCTATTAGATTTAATGATCAGTTTTATCTTAAATGTCCATCAGTTGTGATAACAGAAAAGAGTATAAATAATTTTATTGAACTTAAACGATCTCAAAACAACACGGAGTATTGACCACACGGCTCGTAGCTCAATGATTTAATCAACGTATAGAATTAGTAGATAGCGACGCTAAAACTGTTGACATATGAAGAACTGAGAATGTGTAGGGTACACTAACAGAAAAAAACTCGTGGAGAAGTGTTTGATCCACCATTGCAATTAGAAAAAGATAATAGACAAGAATGGAAAAAATTTTCGAAAGAAAAATGTGCAAAAATAATAGATGAAATACCTTATTAATTGTAATTGGTCATAGAAAACCAAGGAGAACATGTTGACACACATTGAGTTTTACTAAAATTTACATTTTTAGAAAAAATTTGTCTTATAAAGTTTTTTTTCCTCAATCAAATGTTTATAAATAGCACTGATCAAGAAATAAAGATGTCACAAAAAATCAAGCACGACAATTCATGTATTTCAATCTTATTGATCTATTTGAGCAATAATGTTAGCTAGAGAGCTGCAACTTGTAAAAATTATACGTCTTGGTTAGACATATATCAGATAAAAGTCTCAGCCTTCTACGTCAAGTAAAAGAATGAAAAATGTCGTCGACAATTTTTCCTTAATTATTATCTGACCGCCTGTAGACGTATGTATTTTTAGTAGACGTGCTCATTTTAAATGAGTGAGTCATTAAAAATGGTAAACAAGTTTGATTGTTAGTCACTTCAGTTGCCTACAGAGTTTCCAGTAGTTCATTGAATAATAAAAAAAAAGATAAAATGTCTTGCACGTATATTGATCCAATAGACTGATGTGTTTTCTACTGATAATGCACGACTCTTAGCTTATATTCCCCAGAAAAATGTTAACAAATACCGAGATGCGGTATAAAGATTGCAACATTTAGTATTTTGAAAACATCTCATCACAGATCAATCGTATAATCTTGATTCTTTTTTTAAAAGATGCACAATGAAAAACTCTACAAAAAATGTAAGAACAAATTCCTATTGACTTGTTCTGGTGGTGTCTTCTATATTGAAAATGAATAGGTCACATGATGGTGCTATGTCCCACCGTATTAAATATTTAGAAGACCTTTTTGTGTACTCAAAAAGTGAGTACACTCTAGAATCGGTCAGTGTGTCCGGCCATCCGTTTACACGATAACTTTTGAAAGGAGAGTCCGATTGCGATGAAATTTTCTACACAGTTCAGTCTTAACAATATCTCGGTCGAGTTCGAAGATGAGCATGATTGGCCGAGCCGTTCCTGAGTTATTGCAAAAATACTCATTTTTTCCTATGGCTTCCTATGCGAAAATCGACCCATCCCCGCTTTCGTAAAAAATTTTTCCTATCATACTCAAACAAAACCCCAACTATTATATACCATTCGATAGAGAATTTTACGAACTACAAAATGGTATACAAAACATAAAGAAACAAGAACACTAAGTCACCTATTGCAGAGATACTTAAACGAAAATTGCTTTGTAATTTTCTGAGTTAAGAAAAGATTTTCTTGAGAAAATAATGATTTTTTTATACAGCTTGGCGATATCAAATCGGGGTCGCGGAATTCGAATCTGAAGTCAGATTTTAAAAATTTTGAAAGTAGTTTTTTTAGTTAAGACCCCACCCCCTCTCAAAAAAGTCGATTTTCGCCAGAAAAATCGAAATTGAGATAAATGCATGAGAAGATAGCCCAAGTTCTGCTCTTTCGGAAACACTATGATTTTTTTACTGGGCGCTCCTTTTTTGACAAAGTTTTTAATTCTTTTCTGTCATCGACTGCTAAAAAACGCGATTTTTTTCTAGAAAAAAATATTTTGAGGTTTTCGCATGGAAAATAAGTACTTTAATCAAGTTATCGATATTGCTCGAAATCCAAATACTTTATGTAAATGAGCTTCTCTGACATAGATAATCCCAAACAAATACGAAGAAGAAAACGAACTTTATTAAGATAATGCTAAGTTATCTTTTATCACATATACAAATAGCAAAAAAAAGAAATATGTTTATTTAAAAAAAAACTAAAAAGTTACTATTTCAACAGTTCAGTTGTCTTCATCTGAATGTTTGGGTGTGGGTGTAATTGTTTTATTTACCTCACACCCACATTTGTTTGTAAAGCATGTTTACCGCTTTCTACGATGCACCTTCTGAAAGAATAATAAAGATTTTCTCACTTTCTCAACGTTATACACATGCAAAATAAAAACGTTTTCTATATACTTTCATTATGCTACATACAGTAGGACTTAATAGATCAGGTATGTTTTTCATTTTGAGTATGGAAGAAAGCATCAGAACGAGTCAATTCGGATTTGTTCATACAGTTTTTTGTAGAGTTTTTCACGGCGAATCTTCTGAAAAAAAATAAAAATTTTATCATTTGTCTGTGCGGAGATATTCGCAAAATAAAGCATGTTTTTTTGCGACATCCGCTATTTCGAAAACTTGTTTCACGTTTTTCTCAGAAGGTAGGTTCGACGACGTAGCGCCACCGCCATTCGACCACTGTTCAATATAAAGTCATATATTTTTTTTTTGTTTGAAAGCTCGTGTTTAGGGCTAGCCCCTCTCGTGGCCCGATTTTTAAAATAAGCTTTTTATTATTATATAAGAACACATCTTCATAGAAAAAGCGCCATTTTTTCGGGGTGTTTNCAACTGGCGAAATTCCAAGGTATGTATTGGCGAAAGTACAGTGGACTTTCGCCAATGGCGAAAGTCTTATTGGCGAAAATCTTATTGGCGAAATTCCGGAACCCCCTGTAGGCTAGTAGATTATCAGACTAATAGAATTAAACATTTTTATTTTTTCGATTGTTCAACCTATTTTTAATTTTTTTAAACTTTAGTTAATAAATACTCTTCTAGATCCATGACTACACAATCAAGTACTCGTTCTCAATGTCGAACTAAATTTATACACTTCATCGAGAATCTGAATTTGTACGATGACGATGATGAATTAACTCTAACTGAGCAACTCTTTTCTACACGTTTTTTCATTATCTTACTTTCGATCGCTCTCTTAATCATACTATTATTTACTATTATTATTCCTCAAACACGTTCTGTCACTGTTGTTTCACCAAGTTTCAATGATTTCGAAAATATCGTCAATATTTACAAAACTAAAGTTATATGTCGCTGTTCTCAAACATCAATTCCTTATTCACAATTTGTATCATTAAATCCTCGATTTCATGAACTTTGTTCAAGTGATTTCATCAGTGAAGAATGGTTTTCCTCTTTATTTAATGTCAATACAAGAAATTACTATCCTCTTGACTTTCGTTTGATGGCTTCTGCACAATTTCAAATTTTATCTATTCTCTGCCGAATGTCACGTCAAGCTGTGATCGATGCTCTAAAACAATTTACCACAACAACAATATCATCATTAACTGCATTATCACGTGATGTACTCAGCACTTATTTAGACATGTCTATTGAATAATTTCAGAAAAATACACTACACAGTTACCATTCACACTATCATTTTATGTTATCTCTTCTCGCCGAACATCGTTTTATATCTGCATTAAGAACAAATTTCTATACAAGAAGTGTTCCTGGTAGTAATATTTTTGTAACTTATCCTGCCATCTATCCACAACAAGTCGACCTAACTCAATCGTCACTTATATCGAATGAAACATGTCGATGTGATCATACAAGTGATTGTGTTTATCCTGCTGGCATTTATAATCAATCGCAAGCTATCATTCCGAATCAAGTCTTTTCTCTTGATGCACCACCTCTATTCATGATACCAGGATTTCAAATAGGATGTGTACCACAAAATGCATTGTTTCAATCAACATTAGAATGCTTTTATAATCAATCATGTTTAGATATTGTGATTTCGTTGACTGGTGCTCTTCGTACTGTCTCAACTCTACATTTTTCAAACTCTTCTTCACGATTCAGTCCAACAACAACTGTTGCTGTTCTTTTTGATAATCTAATGATTGAGTCTTGGGACAATACTACTGATTTCGCTACCTATTTCCAAATTTGTGCACCTAAAACCTGTTCATATTCATATGTACAACGTTTTTTTCTCATTTATGTTATCACTATCATAGCTAGCGTCTTTAGTGGAATTCGTGTAGCATTATATACAGTATCTCCATTGTTTGTCAAAGTCATTTTACGTTCATGTTCGAAACGAGTTTCAGTACAAAAAACTGAAGAGCGATATAAACCAAAAAGAAGTAAAGTCAACCTTTACTTTAATATATATTTGTTTTTTCTTCTTGTACTTTTTGTTTCCATAGATTTCCAAGATCGTATATGGAAATTCCTTAAATTAATTCATCACAAAGTTATCACATTGAATTTGTTCAAAACAACTTTCATCAATGTTCAACATTGAATTTATGTTACTCGCGTTTATATCATATTACTGATGTGTGGTATTTATATTTTGACCTTTTACTCTACTAAAATTGTTAGTTCACAACAAATCATTGTCAGAAATCCAAATCTGGATGAATTTGAACATCTTTATGACATGAACTTATCAACTCTATCATGTCCATGTCATAATTCATTGATACCACGCTCAAAATTCATATCCATTGAAGTAAAACTTCATCCATTTTGTTCAAGTAGTTTTATTCGTGATGATCGTTGGTTCCAATATTGGACAATGACATTTCTAAATGGTAGCATCGATCCTAATCCACCATTTTATTGGACAGATTTTCGCAAAAATGGATTGAAATTTTTTAATTATGTTAAAATATTATGTGACTTTGTCAATATAACTTTGTCTGACATAATGAATTCATATCAAGAAGAGTATTTTTTCTCTTCTCAACCTATTACTCAACTAGAATTCGATGGAATAACTCATGATTGGAAATATTTAGTTGAAGCTCAGGTAGAATACAATGAAAAAAGATAGCTTAAGAAACATGTTTTCTCACACTTTTGAGCATCTGAATCAGAATTTTTCGTTGTACTTTAAGATATTCTTTCCTACTATACGGAGAATATCTATGATTATAATAATTTTCGGCAGAAGGAAGGAAAAAAATATAAGTAGATAAATCTAGAAAAGCATAATAATCTTATTCTGGTCTCATTGAAAGCGAAATATGTCATTATGATTTTTATCTAGATCACCATATTCTACTATACTAAATTATATCTTGTGGAAACCAGTATTAGAGACAGTACAATCGTTTCATCTGATTTTATGGATCCTTCTATAATCTCCAGACAGATCAATAACACATGGATTCTAAAGTATGTTTGGAATGACCCTGATGATTTTCTTGGTATATCATGCGATTGTCGACAAACTCATATTTGTTCAAAACCATTGGGCTTTTATTGCTATCCATCGTCATGCACACAAATAATTATTCCTGGCCTATCTCTTGGTTGTCAGCTTTTAGATTTTAGTTATTCCACATTGGAATGCTTTTTCAACGAATATTGTGTTCAGATGTTGATAGATTACCGTCTTCATAATTATGAAAATATTTATTTACCAATTGATTTGAGTAATATAACGGCACTTGATGCAAACGATATTATCACATTTAGACCTGAAGATACATTAGAAGAGCTCAAAAGTGCTGCATTCGTTAATCAATGGACATATATAGCAAATTATACATTGTACTATGCTCAATTTCAACCAAAAGTATG